CATCTTCTACATGTGGCTAGCACCAGCAAATGTCTTTTAGACATAAGGAAAAACGTATGGGCATAAAATTCCGCGAGGTACTTAATTTTGAAGATTTCTTGGATAATTTCTTAACCACGAAATTAATACAAAAGGAAATATTTACTGTGCATGTGCAGCTTTTGTACTTAATGCATGTGCACATGCAAAAGCACAAAATTTAATCCCCTTAAAATTAAAAAATTGAGAACTTTTCACAAAAACTTGAAATTTGATATCCTTGAAATTTACTACTTGTATGACATATCAAAGTTACTCTGGAGCACTGAAATTCTCACAAAAAAGCAGCTAAACAGAATGCTGCATGACCTCACAAGCATTATAATAGTACATGGCTTTTGGAACAATTTTTAAAAATTTATAAAAATATAATTTTGATTAGAATCAGCTACACAGCATAATTAAGAACAATGTATATGCATCAGGAAACTATTATAAAGGGAAAAATACTTGACAAAATACCCAGTACAGGGTGTTTTGTCAATTTTTGAAGTAATTTCAGAAATTCATAAAACAATCCACTAAAAAGCTGACCAGTGAGACTATCCTGAGAGAAAGCCTTATCTAAAGCTCTTTAATTCATACTAAGTTCAATTTCTGACAATGTGAAAATGCTAACACTGGTAGCATTATAAGCATTATCTTTATTATGAATATTAATAGGATAAACAAATGCTCCACTAGGCTTTCAAACATAAATGGTTTATATATGCTTGGTAGTTGGTGAATAAAATATGTTAAGTTCTTACTTGTCTGAACAAAATCTCATCCTGTGTTATTACAGCCATCTGTCTCCATCCAAATTCTCTCATTAACTGACCCAGGGATGCCCCAGAATATCGAAAAGATAAAATTGTTCTGAAAAAGTTTTTGAATCGACTTCGATCATTCAGGATATCAGCACCAGCTGCATAAGCCAACTGTATGCAAATAATAAATACTGTATAGTGGGTTTATTTCGAGGATAATAAATTTCACAAATGACCCGTATCCGTAAGTTTGCAGAATTAATTTTTGCAAATTTCCACTATTCTGCCATCTTGTACCGTACTAAATTGATTTTCAAAGAATTTAATTTCGCAAATCTAGAAGAATCCACAAAATTTGTTATCCTCAAAAATAACCCACTATACAGTAATAGAAATTAAAGGATTGCATTATTTAAAGCATGTCAACAGAATACAAGTGCAATATGAAGTATGCTGACTTACGTGTGGTATATTCCAATAGTGACTTATTTCTGCTACTGGTATAGTAGCAGGAGAACATCCACATCCAATCAATGACACATAAGTAGTGTCATTGTTTATCAATTGAAAAAAATTATCAAGTGATGTAGTACGATCGCACTGGATAAATTTAAGAAAATATCAATCATTATAAAAGCTTCAGTATACCTTTGAATCCAAAATATGTGTGTAGTTCAGAGTATAGTTCTGTAGAACATCGTCTCTTTCATTAATGAGCTCCAGTGCAAGATCAACTACTGGTATTGCACCACTTAGGACTAAAGGGCCAGACAGTGTAGTTATGTATCCAAAATAGAGACTTTTAGTTTTTTCAGCTGTCAATAAAGAAGAGTAAAGTAATATACACCAAAATAAAAGAAAACATTGCTTTGACATATTTTGCTCCACTTCTCTAGTCTATAGTAGTCAATGCTCTAGGATTGGAGGGTGTGGTTATTTATCAACATGTTAATGTTTAGTAAACTATCTATGATCTTTATCCAAAAACATTCAACTACATAGTACTCATATCTGACCAGTCATAAAAATGATCAAATTAAACAATATTCAGACAGTGTCTAAATATTAATTGTTTAATGCTCTATATACTTAGACATAGCACCTAGATTCAAGATTCTCCATTTGATTATGATGATAATTCTGCTTGCTTGAACATTCAATGTTATTTTAGATGTAATAGGCTGTTTGTGTTAATGCCATAATACGAGACACCAAAGGTGTGTGGCCTCGCCCCTAAAGCTGTTTGGGAGGTGCTAGGCTTAGCTAACCTAAGCCAATATATTTCAATGATATAGATCAGAAGTGGCAGACTGGGTCAGTGTGAAAGTATGATGGAACTCTGGAGTCTGTGCTAAAATTGGTTCATCAATTCCTACTAGCATTTCAAAATTTATCACTTATTTATTCACTATTTATACTTATTGCACTCTCACTTCTAAAAACAACATCATGGATTTGAAAACCACAGCTTTTGTTGTGGCCACTATCTATCAAAAACATACTGTACAAAAAATTAGAAACTGAGGCCAATGGATTGTGCTCATGAGGCCAAGGAATTATCATGACAGCTAGCTTCCTAGCTGCAGCTTGCATGGTTGCAGAAGTATTTTGTTGATGTATTATATAAGTGTGTGCTCTTTTTTTAAAAGGTTTATCTTAATTTTAAAATTCAGTTGTAGTAGACAAGTCAAACTGACTTATTATACTTGACAAAATTATACTGTTAATCATGATTAAGGTTTTAGATAAATTAGTGATAATTCTATAACATTAATTTCCTTTTAGTAAAAAGCAGTGATGCATGGATAGTTCCTAGTGTTATTCATCTTTCTTCTCTACTGACCTCTTTATTTCTAAACCAATGGCTTTGGCCAATGGAGGTGGGACAGCATTACCAACCTAGAGATGAATAATACCCAATAATGACAATGCAATGCATTCTTTGTGAATGCTACATGTAGTATCGTATAGAAGGAAAAGTTGTGGAATTTTATTTTGACACTTGGCAAATTAATGATAAAATCGACCATTTTACTGTATTCTGAACATGCTCAATGTGTGACAAATGGCTGCAAATTCCTCAATATAAATACCACTAATACATTGCAATCATGGAATCGCCAATATTAAGTGCCACCAAATATTCTTCCCCACTATAATCATGGTATAATACTGACCTGTCTGTGTTTATCAAGTATTGTTCCAAAGAAATGGAAAGTATCAGGGAATCCCTGTGACCTGGCACACTCCTTCACACTCACCACTCAATGCTGCTCTGGGTGAAGGACATGACCCTTACAATAAATAAATAATAGTGTAAATTATATTTATATTCTTTTTCTCCTTCTCACTTGCTTCCCCATTGGTTCTGGATTCGTAACTGTCGTACTAAAAAACCCATCTCATTCTAACCTTCCATAAAGCCCCGCTCAATGATTGTGTCTGTTACCTAACAGAAGATACAATAATAATGTAACGGATGTGGCAAAAAATGACTAGGAGAGGATTCTCAATTTTTCCTGATACATATACATGGTTTTATGTTGTGTAGCAAGTTTGAACTGATTCTGATCACAATTGGATTTTTTATGAATTTTTAAAGTTGCTCCAAATGCTATGTACTGTATGTAGTGCTTGTAGCATGTTTTTTAGCTCATTTAGCATGCTTTGTCAGAAACATTGCCTAGTAGTCAATAATTATACTATCTGATTAACTAGGATATTTGTTACAGCTCTAGTAATAATTC